GGGGCAGAGAATTGCTTTCGCTCTTTTCTCTAACTATTATTCTCTATTCACTGCAGAGGTAGCTGTGCGCAGTTTCCACGGACAGGACAATCATTTAGTGCCGCAGCCAAAGCCGTACAAGCACAAGGTCTCATCCCCTCCGTACGCCTCCTCCTCCTCCTCCTCCTCATCCTCTTCGTCCTACTCGAATGACTATAAATACAACTACCACGTGCATGATCCATTTGGCAAGGCGGCGCCGCCTCCCCCCTCCGCCTCGCTCGTTGTCGAATCGGACTTGTCGTCGGAGTGGCAGGTGGAGTCCGGCTGTCACTCCAATTGCATGACAGAGTCAATGGGCGTGCAGGCAGTTAGGTCACGGCGCACGGGCCAGCGCAATATACAGTTATGCACGCACAAGGTGAAGCCATGCGAGCGGCTGCAAACCCCAGCGGAATATGCGGAGCAAACGTGCGCCCGCTATAAGCTGAAGGTGCGCGGTCTATCCGGTCACGGCTCCCAGATCTCGGCCAGCATCACCGAACCGGATCGCAGCTGTCGCGTGGGCTGCCAGGATGAGCATATCAAGTATCGCTACTATCTGGTCAACGGCATCCACGGCCACTTTCCCATCGGCACACGCTGCTCCCAGGTGGGCAGGCGCTACTGCGTGGACGGCAAGTGCCTGGAGTTTGGTGCGGATAAACTGTTGCTGCAGCAGTCGCACATCAGCTTGGCGCTCTTCCGGAGCAAGCGCGAGGCCCTGAGGCGAACGAAGCGCAGCTTCCTCTACTACGATCCGGTCAACATTACGGAAACAATTACCCAGGACTTTCTAAACAGCATTGTCAACAGTATTATAGATTTTGAAAGGCAACATCTGGGTAGGTAGCAGCAGGATAATTATGCGATATTTAGTTGACGATATGAATAGAGCTTGAATTATCGATCATTTAATTTACTGAGCAAGTTATTTAACTCTCTCTCTCTCTATCTCTCTGTCTCTGTCTATCTCAGTCACTCTTTCTCTGTCTTTCTCCCTCTGTCTCTCTCTATCTCTTTATATACATATATATTTTTCCATTTCTTAATCTGTCACATAGTTACTCATAGCTTCTATTGGTTTTGCTTTATAAGTGTTTACATATCCTAACATTTATCTCTGTCTTTTCAGTCATTAATCTACGCATTTATTTATATTTACATCCTTATCCAACTGTCTATAGAATTGTCTTGCCTATCCATCCATTATCCATCTTTCCATTACTCATATATTTATTCATGTATTTATCGTATATCCAACTGTTCGTCTTTTTACTATCTACCATATTCTACCTACATATATTTATCCATATAACCATATATTTGTCTCTACTTCTTACAGACGTTTCCTCGGACAACATCGAATTATCCAACCCTATACACGTCTCTGCGGACGAATTAAGCAACAAATAAGTTTAAGTTGATTCTTTTTATACTATACATCTCTCTCCCTCCCTCTCTCTATATGCATATATATTTACATATATATATATACTTGTATTTCATGTAGCTTCTGTGGCTGCCGTTCTGCTCAGACTACCCCACCTGCCCCTGGCATTCTCGATACAAATCCCTAGTATTTTAAGAGCTCTAGATGTAAAACCTTAACTGCAAATTGTACGAATATTAGTGGAAATAAACGTGCGTGAATGTGACTGAAATCAGTTCGAAATGCTAACTGAATAAATAAATAAATATATATATATTTTTATTCATATTTATAAATGCATGAATATCTCCTTATTTATCTATGCATATTCACATAATTATATTTTATTTATTTATTTAGCTCCTTGATCCAATTGAAATTTCTCAGCGCATTTCCTGATTTTTCTTTTAATAATGGTAAATAAATCAAATGAATTTGAAATCTCGGCTGACCTTTCACATTCCAATAATAATTATTCAGGTGACCCCAAAAAAGCAAATCATCCAATTAAATATGTTTTGTTGTTGTTCGACATCGCCTTTAAATAAAAATGACTTTTCAAATTGTGTGTGGCACACTTTTGGGCTGGCCGATAAAACGCTGCACAGGGCGCACAAAAGTAGACACGCATTACAAACAAAAACACACACACACACACACAGGCTGAGCACCTAGCATTCGTCTAGCTCATCCATTGTGTTACCAATTTTGGTGTTTGCATGCAAACACCCGCAGCCATTACCAATATTCAATACCAAAAAGGGATAACAACAACAACACACACACACACACACAGACACTCGATGGTGTGTCTATGTGTGCGTGCGCTAGAAATTAGATAAAAACACCTACAAAGCGCTGAATATGCCGCAGTCGACAACTAAAGCGCGCCCCGAGCAAACCGAGACCGAACAAAAAAATAGAGCTAGAAAAACAAAGAAAAAACGAAAGGAAATTTGATGAAAAATTTCAAGTGCTTAAACGTTAGTGTACGTTGTGTTTACGTGTGTGTCCTGTGTTAGCTGTTTTGTGGCCTTTACATTGTAAACTTGACCAGGGTTCGGCTTGTGGCAAGTTCAATGCACCAGCTGCAAATCGAATTGTGTTCGCGCGTGGCGTTTGCATATTTCGAATGCATTAATCGGTGTAGATATAAGTGCTATTAACGGTTAATTAGCCGCTCTAATTGCTGGCCATTTGGCATTGACATTTTGATGGCTCCTCGGCGCAGCTCTCATTCTCCTGTAGATCTGCCCCGCCCCATGGGACTCAATTCAATTTGGGTCACATGCCTAGAAAATTGACTTTGCCTTGAAGGCTTTCACATTTAATTCTTTAATTTGGTCATAAACACGCAGTTCTGAAGACAGCTAAGAGCGAAAACTGTGTCAATTGGTTTTCCAATTTTTTTACAATTTTATTTCATTTTCTTGTTGTTTTGTTTTTGTTTTTTTGCTCACGCAATGTCCATTTGGACACTTGGCGCTCAATTAGTCATTCAGAAAATATTCAATTGAAGCCATTTGGCAATTGGCTGCAGTTGTTGGCTGAACTGAAAGTTCACACAGCATTTGCTGCCACGTGCTAAGCAAACACTTACAACACCTGCCTCAGCTGCCCACTTGCTCCTGCCACGTACACAGGACCTTGAAGTCCTGCTCTACTTTTGATAGTAACGTGTTATTTCATTTGTTGTTTTTGTTTTTCTTTTTTTCGAATTCGAATTATCGACCTGTATCTAATTGGTTTGTTTTCGTTGTCGTCGCCCGCAGGTGCGGCAATTGAATGTATGTACATGCGTTAGTTGCTTCATTAGGCCCCGCTGCCGGCAAAAGTATGCAACGGCTTTGGTCAGTCCTCAAGCTGCTGTCGTTGCACCCAATAGAATGCTATAAATTTTTTAACAAATGCTTTACTGGCATTAGAGATTGGACATAGATAGAGAGAGAGTCATATGTCTAGACATATTTAAACAGCTTTGTACCCTGTGCTTGGGTTTTATATTATGCGCGACTAAAGTGTAAAGTTTTTTTTTTATTTATTTATTTTTTTTTTTATTATTATTTTTAAAGCCATACGGGTTAACCTAATAACCCCTTTGTGAGCTTAAAGTGTAAAGTGATTAACGTTTATGTTATATTTATTTAAGATTTGGTTTATAGCATTTGGGATTTTTTTCTTATTTATTATGATGAAGTGGAGAGTCTGTACATCAAATATTATACTCTTACAAGAGATGAAAAATGTTTAACAGCTCTTAAAATTGAAAACAGATTCATTTTTTCAACTAGCAATAATCGCACCACATATAGAACAGAGCTTAGTGATGAATGCGCCATAGAGTCATAGAGAATGAGCTGCAATAATAATTCGTTAAATAAAAAATAAGTTAAATTTTTATATAAAAATATGAACATGTTAACTTGTCTAGTACAGAGCTTTAATTGTGTAAATCCTTAAAATAATTGATAGTAACTTAACTTAGAGTTCCATTTGATTAGTTTTCTTTCCATCTAAATGAATATTAAATGAAGGAAAAAAAAAACATTAAATGAAGAAATATGAACAAGTCTTATATTTCAAAAGTTAAAAAAAAAATGTTTTTTGGGCTATATATTCAAAATATGGATAATGAATATATATAATAATATATAACAAACATCGTGGTAGCTACTTAACATTTCAATTATATACCATAAAAAAAATATACACATAAAGTTTGCCTAAACCTTACGTTAAAGAGTCTAAAATATAAATATATTCAACAGCATTTCATTTTGATATGATATGAATGATATATGATATATATGAATGATATACATTATTATACATACATATTATAGTTTTATATACATATGTCATTTTGAGAATCATATATATTATTATTATACATGTATTAGCTTTATATATTTCACAAAATTAAATATAAATTGAGCAGGAATTTTACTGGATCCTGTATGAGGTATATATAAATTTATTCTTTGCAAAACTCAATTGAAAATATCAAAATGAGAAAGAGAAAATACTCGAAATAATTGTTTTCAATGATTTATGTAGCAATGGCACCTCCAAAGTTTGTAGTTCTTATATACCCGCCTCTATACACCTACATAGCTATCTATTGGCTTTAAAACTAGGCTGAGCATGTTTACATATGGTATCCGCCCCATACAAGTGTTCCGGCCATTCATATTTAATGCAATGGCACGCGATTCGCGCACTGCAGTTGGCCAAATGAACGACAACAGCCCGAGCTGAGCATTGGCAATTGTTGAGTGACCGCAACACACACACACAAACACACACACGCACACACATTCATGCTCAATGCGTATTGACCAACAGCTAAAACTAAGCGCCAGACGTCGTTGAACTTTCAAAGCCAACGGACGAACCAACGGACAACAAAATAAAATAAAATAAATTACTAGAATTAAAATCAAAATAATATATAATTTAATACAAATAAATTGTGCAAAGTTTGTGATCAACGAAAAATCAAAGAAAACCGGAAAAGGAAAAAGGAAACATGTGTCGTTTGAATCGCGACTGGAGCAATGTGCAGAGTCGTGGACTTTAAGCGTTTTGCTGTKCAGAAATTTGCAACGATAACGGTAACGGTAACGGTAACTGTTTGAAGGCATGCCACCAAAGCGTAGACGCAGATTTCATGGACTCTATTACCATTCATCGCCGCCAAAGGGTGAGTGCAATATGAAGTTATGAATAGCAGTGGGATATTGAGTGCCATTCGTATTCATTAGTTGTGCACAGCTAATTGAGCCAATTACGATTGATGTGTGTGCCAGCCAATTAAGTAACACATAAGGGAATTCCATAGAGAATGAGTGAAAGAGAGAGAGAGAGCGAGAGAGTGGGGGGAGAGAGTGGGCGCACGACATGCGTGACAAAGCGCAGACATGGCCAAAATTTGCATATTGCGTGAGTCCCCAATGTCGACTCAACAAGTAAAGCTAGCCAGCAGGAGGCGCAGCAGGAGTTGATGGAGTTGTAGCTGGAGTAGTTGGAACAGCAACTGGCGACGACATTAAGTGGCAATCGCTAATGCGCCATTTCCGTGGCAATTGTTGCCCTTTTTCATTCCTTTTTTTTCGCTATTGTGTTTTATTGCCACACACACACACACCCATATACACACAGCTTTGTGGCAAGCGATGCGAGCAACACTCGAATCTAATTTACATGTGTGTGCTAAATATATGGCCAGCGCTTACAAATGAACCAGTGGCAAGGCAATAAAGAACAATTCTTGCCAACTATTTACAGGTGTAGCTAATGAACAGGTTGCTTGAACAAGTGGCTATAGAGGAACTTGGTAGCGTGCCTATTCTATGTAGAGAAGTTGGCTGTGAAGTGGCCTGGTCTATCTACTTAGAGTCTGTCAAAAGCTGAGGTAACTGGCTAAATATAAATGCTGCTATAAAGTTAAGGACGTCTATCGCAAAGGTCTCTTCCGGGAAGGACTTGAGCTAGAGAGGGAGATGGACTGTAAGAGAGAGTGAGAAACAAGGAAGTAGATAGGGCGGGAACTGAGTAAGAGGAAGAGAAAGAGAAAGGGAGACAGATCGATAGAGAGAAAGCAATGTAGAGAGAGACGAGTTAGACAGAGAGAGGGAGTGAGAGTGACAGAGTGGAGGAGAGAGAGAGAGAGGCAGACACTAAGAGAGAGACATTGAGAGAGAGAAGCAGAGAGAGAGAGAGAGAGAGAGAGAGAGAGGGAGGCGGATAGATAGAGAAATAACAATGTACAGAGGTAGCAAGAGTCAGAAAGAATGAGAGAGAGAGAGAGAGAGAAAGAGAGCAATATAAAGAGAGATAGACTGATTTATGATATCATTATATATAATATATATGTCCTACACAGAACATAGATAATTATGAATAAGCAGGCTTAATATTTAATTCTAATTGATTTGTGATTAACTGTTAAATTAATAATATGTTGGCAATCTATTTCCCTGGTGAGATTTATTTTCCTTGTGCTAGTCTAGTAATCTTTCCATTAAAGGGATAAAGACGGAAGGAGAGTAAAGAGTGAAAAACAAAAATGCGAAAAAGGCAAAGACAGAAAGGCAGGAAAAGACAGGGAGTTACTAATGAAATACAAAAAAAAAAAAAAAAAAAAAAACTAAAGAGAGTGATATAGTATATATGAAATATAGAAGGCTTTAAATAGAAGTACATTAGCTATAAGCTATAGTTATATATAAGTTATAGCTATATATTAGCTATAAACACACATTGGGCTTCCTTTTGCCACCTGCACGAACCATTGAACATTTCAAGCAAGCAGCTATCGCAAATCTATCCTGCAGCTGATACTCGTGTTAGCCAAAACTGAAGACATCACAATTAGGCTACACTCAAACCGAGCTGTGAGCTTTCACTCGATGGGAGAGTCACTGCTGCCCGATGGAAGATAAGAAAGCGCTAAAAAACCAACGATAGAGCCATAATAAAACTGCTAACACTCACAGTGCATATAAATAGTATACAAATATGTAGCGAACTTATTTACCCAGTAATACACAGAAAAAAAGGCGAACGACAGGACGCAATTACCGCCCACCTTGGCCACCATGGCAAAAGGCACAACAAAAGCAAAAATAAAGTGGAGAAATGAAAAAAAAAAAAAAACAAAATGAAAGAAAAATGAGAAATAACACATTGAGCTGTCCTAAATTCAACACCTTGCTTTGGTCAGCCATGTTAGTTGCCTGGCACACGCAATACGAAGCACAACTAACGGCTGCAGAGAGAAGTCCTTCAAGCAAATAATAGAGCTCATCAAGTAGGCAGGCAGTTCGTTCCGAAGGCCCTTTCATAATTAATCAAGCACAGCACAGCACCGGCACATATGTACATACAGACACAAAAAATCAAGCAAATATACATTTATTTCGATTTCTAAGCATTATTTTCAAGCAGCGAAATCAAGAATATTAAACTATGTCTGATACCCTTGCAGTCATGCCAATGAATGGACAGGCGGCGGGCCAGAATGGACGCAAGCAGCGGAGCAACGACGGTGCGTATGAGTAATATTTGTTGTTAAGTGTTTTCGGTCGGGTCGGGTATTTCGAAACGGCCTATAGCCGAAGGCTCTCCGCCAGCTGCCAGTTTCCCAAATCACTGCTCAATATTTCAAGAGCCACACGCCCTGCATAGCAAATGCAACGACCTTCAAGGTCTCAACAAAGAAACAAGGAAAGAAAATTTCCTGAGAAAACTTGGGAAGTCAAAAAAAAAAAAAAAAAAAAAGAGAAAAGAAAAAGTAAAAGTAAAGCCAAAGCTAAACTAAATTCGTAAAGTTGTTGAGACTTTAAGTTGAGCATTTGCTTGGCTTTTAATTTCGTTTTTACTTGCAAATTGCATGCAAACACGAATAGCCGAAAAAAAAAAAAATAACAAAAAACTTGCGCTGAAATCGAAACCGGAAGAGCACGAGTCGAAGGGCAATGTGGGGGCGGCAACGGGCACGTTGGGCGTGTCTGGTACTGTGCAAATTTTCGGTGTTAAATTAATTTTTGACTGCACTTGGATTTTCATTTGTTTTCGGATAATAGATTTCTCGGTGAAGCTATCGACCATCCGCATCTGGATGCACGAAAAGGATATTGGCAAGCTGACGCGCATTTTGTGGGCGGGCCAGGGACAGCGCCTCTGTCAGCAGGCGAGCAACAATGGGCGTGTCAAGCGATTTCTAGCCGCCGTGCCGCACGTCATGGTAAGCCCCATTATTCTCATTTGCAACTGACTAGTGCGCAGATAACGGTACAGCGATTGCCATAGAATGCCACAAAGGATCTGCACCAGGCGGTGATCGATAACAATTTGGAGTCGCTGCAAATGCAGCTGGAGCCGCCGGTGCCGCCAGCTCTGGTCACGGCCAAGGATAGCAATGGCCTGAACGTTATACACAAGGCCGCTGGTCTGGGTCACACCAAGATGCTGGAATACCTAGTGGGACTCTGGCCAGAGGGCGCACACGAGGTCGATATCACGGGCAAGACGCCGTTGCATTGGGCCGCCAGTGCCAAGAATAATATGCGCTGCTATACGCTGCTCACACAGGCCGGCTGCGATGAGGAGGCGCAGGATTATGTGAGTAACGCACAGGGATACATACATTCTAATTGAAACAGTTCACTAGTTATGGTTTGCTAAAGCAGGACTTTTGCATAAATGAGAAAAAAAAAAAAAAATAATAATAATAATAAAAGAACTAGTTCATTTTTTGTTTCATGAACTGGTGAGCTAGTTTAGTTTTTGGTTCATGTGCAGGCGCACTAGTTCATGAATTTCTTCATAAATTGGTAAACTAGTTCATTACTTGGTTCAACTGGTGAACTAGTTCTTCAATCCATCAGTGCAACATTCCCAGATCAGCAAATAGCTGAGGTCGTTTATTCTCTTGGGATTTTTCTTGAAGGTTTTGTTTTATACCTATAAAACCCTCAATAATAATTCCATAAATGAGCCCATGATTATGATGAAAGTCGAGTTCATAAAATACATAGTTGACTTATTGACTATCTCAAGTGCTTTACAACATTACGAACTGGGAGTTAACTCTCCATTTAACTAATGTTTCGACTCGATTTCTCAGAAAATGAAGACCCCCTCATACTATCGCCACAAGCCACACGAAATCGAGCGAGCTTTTCTGGTCTATGTGCCGGAGGCGCCGCGCATCTCCCCGGATAGCGTCACCGATTGGGAGGCGCTGAGCGATGATAACGATAGTAATGCTGGCGGTGACGCCAGTCGCAGCAGCAGCAAGCAGGTAAGTGCGAGGGAGATGAAAGGTTGGAGAGAGAGAGAGAGAGAGGGAGGGGGAGAGCTGAGGCTTTTGCTGCTTGGCTAATTGAAAAGCTTGTGGTCTCGTCCTCAATAGAAATTGTCCAGCAAGCCGGCAGCCATTGAGAACGGTCGTAAATCGTTGGACGACAGCGCTGAGAACACCTCCGAGCTGGACACGAATGATGGGTAAGTGGTTTGTTGGCAAACACCTTTGACATTGACTTGGCCTCTAGCATGGCCAGCTTTATGATGCGCTGCGGGGGGCTGAGTTGGGGCTGGCTAAAGGCTTTTGCTACGTTTCCTATTTTATTTTCTGTTTTGGTTTTGTGGGCATGGCTTTTGAGAGTTTTTTGCATTTTGATCGAAATCGAAACAAAATCCACGCAGTACCAGCGCCATTGAGGATGATGAATTATCCAAGGCGGAGGCGGATGTGAATGGAGTTGCCGCAGCGGATGCCGATGCGGATGTCGATGCGAATATCAATGCGGATGTCGATGCAAATGCATCATCGCCGGTCCCACAGCGTCGTCCGGAAACTCCGGCTGCTTTTGCCACCGGCAATGGCAACGACACAGCCGGCGACACCGAAAGCGAAGCTGAGGTAAGTCCCCTGAGGCTAGCCAGGCCCATGGCCTGAGTTCCATTCTTTTGGTTTTTGCTGTTTAGACGCTTTGCACCCTGCGCTTTTGCTGTACAGTTTAGTTCAGTAGTTCTCTTTGGGTCTATTAGCCGAGCGAACAGCTGCAGCTGCAGCTGCAATCGTTTGTCTTAGTTGCTGTCAAAGTAAGCTATTGTCGGCTAGGATGCGGCTTTCTTTTATGCCCCAGCCACACATACACACACACACACACACATGCATAAAGAAACGTATTCACACACATAAATATACTCATACTGATATCCTGCTAACCTAATGAAGTCTGTAGGTGAAGTTAGGGTTATTTTTGGAAAGTTTATTTGACTCTGATGAGTGTGCTTAAGAATGAAAATGAAAACAAAAATAGAGTTGCCTTTAAATGTTTGAGATATTAGCTTTTATGTATGACATACAGTACAGTATAAAAACTCTATAATTAATCAGAAATAGAGCAATAGTTATTGGATTTATTGAAGTTAGGGAATCAATTAGTTGTCATTCAATAACCTACGAGCTGCTTTTACCTTACCGTACCCAAGAAATTGTATAAGAAACACGCTCTCGCATTCCTTGTAAAGACTCCTAATTTTCTATCAATTCTATAACTAGAATTATAATTTTGGTCAATACAATAAGAACTAAAAATATAATTTCGTATATAATCTCCAAGAAAAATCAGCCTTGCCTGAGACCATGAGCTTTGCGAGTAAAAGGGAATATATAAGAACTATCGTATAGTATCGCATACTCAGTAGCGATACTTCATATGAATATCTTTAATATATTAGATCTTAAATTCAATAGCTTTCAGGTCTTTACCCAGAAGTCTTATATAAATAAATTATTCTATGATAAGAAAGCGATAAATTGGCGATAGAGGCACACATCGTAAACTGTATATAACAACAAAGTACACACCCATACAAACACAAAAAAAAAATATAATAATAAAGAACACGCATATCAAGCGCTTTGTCAGCTCGACTGATCAATGTAGATATAAAAAAATAATAATAATAAAAAAAAAAAAAAAAACTAGAAAGTGTTCACAAAGGAAAGCAATCAGTCGACAATTGTTTACTTTTACAGAATATTGCAGGAGCTGTAAGCGCTGAAGGAGCTGAAGTTGAGGCCGAGGCAGCGGAGCCGGCGATGGATGGCGATGAGGCAGAGACAAGTGTAGAACCGATTGAGAATGGAGTTATGGATGATGCTGTTGGGGCGGAGAGTGAGCAAAATGCAAACGAAAAGACTGAAGCGATTGTGAATGAGAACGAAGCGGAAGCGGAAATGGAAATTGAAGCCGAAACGGAAGAGCAGCAGCAGCAGAAGCAAGAAATAGAAACTGCAGAAGTACACAAGGAGAAAGAGGAGGATAAAGAAGAGAAGGCAACTTCAGCTGCTGCTGCTGCTGCTGCTGAGGAGGAGGAAGTGGAGGAGGACGACGATGAGGTACAGATTGGCTTGCTTTAATTGCCAATTCATGTGCAGTCAGCAATTGCTTGAACGATTCGATGTTATTTGTGTGACGTTTGCTCAAAGCGTTTTTACCATTTCCTTTGTTGTTTTCAAATTGTGAACTGTACAAAAGCAAAAACGAGAATTAGCTCAAATAAATATGTATATGTATAACTTTACTATGTACAACAACAACAACAGCAACAGCAACAGCAACGTAGCCGCAACCGCAACAACAACAACAACAACAAAACACAACTATATCTATCTCTTGTCTATATACGATATACGAATGCTTAGTAAATGCTAAAATCGATTTCGTCTATTACCCCGTATTGATATCTCTATCTAATCAATTGTATTTTGTAAACGTGTGTTAAATTTCTTATTCTAAATCTTAAACTTAATTAAACAAGCATAAAAATAATATCAAACTCTGCAATAAAGTAAACGCAACTCGTGTGTTTTTGTTTATGTTTTGCACTCGAACTCAATTTCCGTCTTACTTTTTCCATATTCCATTTTCCATTTGTGTATGTCTCTCGCCCACACTCCAATTCACTTTCTCTTTCTCTCTCTCTCTCTCTTTCTCTGTTTGTTTGTTTGTAGATCTAATCAATGCAATGCGCATATCGATTTGACAAACGAAACCAAATCAGCAGCTGTTTGCCTGCAGATACACTTTCATTTTCCACATTTTCCCTATTTTCTTGTATACAACTAATAGAGAGGGGGAGGAGTAGGCTCTATATACATCTATAAATAATCGTATGCTCCATGTGTGCTCTGGCATTTCACTTTCGCTTGGCATGTCCTTCTCCCTGACGTTCGCCTCTGGCTGTCAGGCAGCCATTCGAATGGCAACTGAGCATGCAATACGTCAAGAACAGTTGTAAACGTTAGATATTGCAGGCATACATATATATACATGTATACTATATGTTCTTTATATACTAGTTATTCATATTCTGCAATTTATTACATTCAATTTGTTTTCTACACATTTGCGTGGGCGTTTTTGCAGCACAACAAATTTCTAATGACTCGAGATCATATCTGTGCTTGGCTGCAATGCAATCAAGTTAATGCAGCGTATGCGCAATATTACGTATACGACGGGGTGTTGCAGTTGGCAGCTGGCAGCTGGCAGGAGCAGCAGGAGCAGGAGCAGCAGCAGCAGGAGGCACCCATTCGCACCATTAACTAAACCACTCCACGCCACACGCCACCCTCACCCATCCATTACGTTTGTCGTAGTTGTTCTTAGTCCTGTGTTTCGTATCCTTATTGCGCACTATTTAACTAATTCTTAGCTGTTTAGGCCATTTAAGCCAACCGAATAAATGCGCAAATTCTCTGCAGGATGTGGTAGCAGCCAAACCAGCTCGCGTCCAGGATGCCGAACAGCAACTGGTGCAGGATAACGATGGCGGCGATTCGCTCACATCGTCGCTGGCCATCGAGGGCTTCGTGCAGGGCGCCGCCGAGGATTATACAGTTCAGTCTCAAACATCAGCAGCTTATGATGAAGTGGATGAAGTATAAGCGGCTAAACCTTTTTTCTAACTCCCATCAAAGTTTAACTGAATCACGCTCTCTCGCTCTATCATTTGCCCAATCTAAATTTCAACTTATTTTACTTTGATTTTCCTTGACTTTTCTTTCGGCACCGACTCACCCGCTTTCACTTGATGCACACCAGAACTATTGTCGCTCTGTGTGGACCGCCGCAGCAAAGTTTAACTCGTGGTTTCTTCACAGGATGGCCGCTTGCAGCAGATCATTGAGTCGGGCGACATGGAGCAGCTGGCCGAGATAGTGCTGAATGGCGAGGGCGGACGGCTGTTGGGTCTCAAGTCCAAGGAGCCGGAAATTCAGGCCTTTCTCAACAACGTGCCCAGCTACATGGTCTGTACCAGGGCCGGCGATTGCCTTCGCCTTAGCCTTTGCTTTATTCATGTGCAACTGTCCACTAATTTCTACACTTGCTCGACTTTTGCAGGAGAAAATCCATCGCGTGCATGATGCGGCACGTGACGGCAGTTTGTTGGCGCTGCAGCAGGCGCTGGATCGCCGGAAGTTTGCCATTGCTAAGGACGACATATCACCAAATGGCGCCACGCCGTTGCACGTTGCCGTCCTCTTTGGCCACAGCGGTAAGTGGAGAGAGAGAGAGTGGGGAAACTTGGGTTTGGGTTGGGCTGGTTTGAGTGGTGGCTGCCCCCACCCAATCAACGCTGCTTGTATCACAGTTTTGTTCTAAATCCCAACCAACCCTCAGATATCGTACGCTATTTGGCTTCACGCTTTCCGGAGACCATGGCAATTACGGATAATGACGGACGCACGCCGCTGCACTATGCGGCCACAATTAAGGACAACGGCCACTTCTACAATGTCCTCACGCAGCTGGGCGCCGATCCAAAAGCGCAGGACAAGGTATATATGTTATGTAGAACACTGTTGCATAATTAAGAGCTAGAGGCATTACATAGAGCAAAGTTACCTAATTTAAGCAGTTCTTAGTGGTAGAAAATGGAGAATTGTTAGCGTTTGTAGCTAGAATAATTCTACACCGTTAATAGATGGATTTATACTAGGCTAGTAGAGCCTTTCTGGCAGTTGCCTCAATGTGGTAGTTACCCTGTAATTGTGCTGTGAATAAACATATAGATATGTATAATTACATATAAATTTAATTTAAGAAATATATACATTCCTTTTTGTGAGCTTCTTATAAACAAAGCAAGAGTCGCACAAGACAGTTCGAATCATAGTTTACCTCTCATTGCCTAGTAAGTAGACACTGCTAATCAATTATCTAGGCTCTAGGAGGGTCAACCTCTAATATATATGCAGTTACCACAATATAGAAGACTTAGAACCAAATATACAATAGAGTCCGGTCATACGAATCCGCTTATAGCATTCGTACGATTATTGCGATGAAAATTCTGATCCCTAGACAAAATTACAACAGTAAATTTATATGGTCCATGGTCGATTGAACGTCGCTATAAGCGAACATACTATATATACATATATAAGCAATCAATATAGCTAATATACCCTTTTAAGTTCTAAGCCAGTATATAATATTTGTGCCAAAATTCATAAATTCACCAATTTGTTTGCATTTTAAACAAATTTGTCTTTGTTTGGATCGTGTTTCAAAAGTTTAATGGTCAAGTTTTAGCTCATTTTCTAGCTGATTAAATTTAATTCATAGTTCAGTCCGATGAAATTGTTTACAGAATATTATATTTAACCTAAACACCAAATTTGAATACCCTTAGTACAATGAAAAGCTCTGCTGCATTGCTTGTTAATTGACCTATCAGCCCGGATTCACGTTTCATGACTATTTAATCCAACAGCTCAATGAAAGTCTCCTTAAGAATAACCTTCCCGCCTCATTTTCTATTCGGCTGGAAAGAACAACAGCTGCATTATCCTTCTACTCCTTTCTGCTGTTAGCATTGAAAAGGCTTAGCCATAGACTTGAAACTATAAATTTAGTTCCTGAAAATGGGTCAAGTTAAGGCCTATGTGACATTCATTTAGGTCGCAGTTAGCTGAAGAGCCTTGTCTTCGAACCTGAATCAATATCGTTTATAAATAAGAGATTAACCACAAGGCTTACATATATTTAAAAATTCTACACGCACGCAGCTGGGCCATACGCCCGAGTTCTATGTGGATATGGAGAAGTCGAAAGATGTGCTCACCTACAGTGAGCTGCTGACCGTATTTGGGGCCGAGGAGCTGGAGAACCAGTTGCTCAGCGATCAAGGTAAACACTCAATTATCCATCATTTGTTTTCATTTTTTGCGCTTAATTTGTTTTTGCTTTGCTGTTTGGCTTTAGCATTGTTGTTGTCGCACGCATAATCAACATACACACACACGCACTACAATACATGCATATCCACACATTTGACTAGTCATCAAAAGGCACTCGCAGTGAAAATAATTAAATACGTTTTTTTTTTTGTTTACTAACCGAAACTTCCGGACTTGATTGGCTGGCTCGTTGACTTTGCCCGTGCCAAGCATCGATTTTCAGTCACACACACACGCACACCTACATACCTGCTGACACACACACACACACACAAATACGCGTCCTTCGCTGGTTGCGCACTCACGTATTCATACCTCGTATACCTCGTATAGCTCGCATAGTTAGTCAACTTTTGGTGGCTAATACGCGCAGTTGGTCTCACAGTTAGCCGCGGACAGTTCCTAACGCAACAAAATGGCGGCAAATCGAGAATTTTTCAATGAGATTATCAATAATATAGACGATATATTCGGTATGTAATTGATACTGACCGCTTTCAATTAAAGTAAATTTAAATTGTTTATTAAAAAAAAAAAAAAAAACAAGTAAGAAAGCTCTAGTCGAGACTGCTCGACTACGAGATCCCCTGAACCCTTGAAGCAATAGATATTTCAATAATTTTTCGCGTCTTTCAGCTTACACAAGAAACACGCACACACACACACACACACACACACACACAGACACGTACGCACACACAGGCATACATACACACACACGCATACAGACACAAACGCATACACACACTCACATACACACACACATACACAAACACATACACACACA